GACTCAACAGTCAGGTTGATCCGTGGCGTTGGGGTCCCGAGAGCACTGTTTGGGCATGCTTCAGGGTCTTCAAACGGTTGTCTTCCTACGAAGGAGTTCCCTCAATGGTAATGAACCCCTGTAGGGGCCTATGATACGGGAGTTTGGAGGGATAGTTTTTTCCAGCATCGTGGATGGCTCTTCGGTTTACATTTGTCCTCCTCCCCTTCCTTCCCCTCAACCTCCATTCCTTTTCCTTACAACTAACGTCTCCCTGTCGCACCCCCGAGCCGGTTTTTAGGGCGGGCCGAGCGTCTCGCCTGAGACTTCCCCAGCATGTATGATGCTGAAGCTCAAGAACTGATAACTGGTTCACAGATAGAGGGCGGGTCGTTTTCAAAATGTGGCTCTCGCAGTAGCGCCACGCACATTCGTTTTAAACATGCGCAAGGGTTTCGCGGATTGGAAGCGACTCGTTTCCAAAGTGTGGCTCCCGCTTTAGCGCCGCGCACATTCGTTTTAAACATTTGCACGAGTTTCACGGATTGAGGGCGGTTCAGGAGGAGGCGGAGGAGGAGGAGCAGGGGGAGGTCAACGAGGGGGAGGGGCAGGGGGAGGAGGAGGAGCAGGAGGGAGAGGGGGAGGAGGAGGAAGAGGAGGAAGAGGAGGAGGAGGAGGACCAGTGTAAACCCAAGAGTCATCAACGATGTTGGAACTAACCCTCCCTCCAAGCTCCCTCCTAATGGTCTCCTACAACGGTTCATCTCCCTGAGGGAACGTCCTCGTTGGAAGCCAACCTCTTGAAGACCCTGAAGCATGCCAAAGCAATGCTCTCGGGATTCCAACGCCACGGATCAACCTGCGTGTTGCGTCTTGACGGTCCTGGATCGTGCCAGAACGCCATTCGGGGGACTCCAACGCCGCGAATCAACGTGCCTGTTGCGCCCGCATAGTCCTGAATCTTTCCCAAACGCCATTCCTGGTACGCTGATCATGGGATGCCGTGAACCTCTTGCAGAGTCTGTAATCGAATGTGCGCGGCGCTAAGGCAAGCACCAGCCCCTCCCTCCCCCCCTCGGCGCGCGCGCTCCCGCGCGCGCGGAGGACGCGCCGACAGCGGCGGCGGCGGCCTGCGGGCACTCGCCGCCCCGGCCCAGGCCCAGAGCACCACGGCGAGGAAGCTGCGCGCCGCCGCCGCGAGCCGCGTGCCGAAGGCGGACCTCTGCGAGCGCGGGGGGGGGCCTCCCTCCCTCCCCTCCGCCCTCCCTCCCTCCTCCCTCCCTCCGCCCTCCCTCCCTCCCTCCCTCCCTTCCCTCCCTCCCTCTCTCCCCCTCCCTCCCCCCCTCCCTCCCTCCCTCCACCCTCCCGCCCTGCCCCCGCCCTCCCTCCATCCCTCCCAGCATCCTCCATCGCTCCTGCCCTCCCCCCCCTCCCCCTCTCCTGCATCCTCCCTCCCCCTCCCTCCCGCCCTCCCTTGATCCTTCCTCCTCCCTGGGGGAGGGTAGGGGGCAGGGGGCGGACGAGGAAAGATGAGAAGGATGATGAAGGAGAGGAGGAGGAGGAGAGGAGGAGAGGAGGAGGAGGAGAGGAGGAGGAGGAGGAGGAGGAGGAGGAGGAGGAGAGGAGGAGGAAGGAGGAGGAGGAGGGAGGCGGCGGCGGCGGCGGCGGCGGCGGCGGCGGCGGCGGAGGGGGAGGCGGAGGAGGGAGGGAGGACGCAGAAGGAGGAGGGATGATAGATGAAGGATGAAGGAGTAGGGAGGAAAAGGGAGGAGGAGGACGAGGAGGAGAAGGCGGAACACTAGGAGGATGAGGAGGACCAGGCGGAGGAAGAGGAGGAAGGGGAGGAGGAGGAGGAGGAGGAGGAGGAGGAGGAGGAGGAGGAGGAGGGGGAGGATGAGGAGGAGGATGAGGAGGAGGATGACAATGATGATGATGCTGCTGATGATGATGATGATGCTGATGATGATGATGATGATGAGGAGGAGGAGGAGGAGGAGGAGGAGGAGAAAGCGGAGGAGAAAGCGGCGTACCCGAAGGACTCGGGCGGCAACCAGCGCGGTGCCCCGCCCGCAGGAGGGCGCCCGCGTACCCGTACCAGAGCACCTACCTGCCCATCCCATTTACATGCCGCCCTCCTTTCTCGTGTCAAAGTGTCAGGACCACCACTACTCCCACACCAATGCCCAACACCACCACGACTTCCGCCACGGAGCCAGCGTGGCACCAGCGTGAACGCCAAGAACGAGCAGCAGTCTGCACGCTACTCAGGGTGGCAGCACCACAGCAGCTACTCGAAACATGTGATCGTGCACAACAGCCACCACGACATCCACAAGCTCCAGCAATGGCAGCACGGTGACGATCAGCGCCGAGCCGCACGCCGAGCAGGGGACCACCAACGTGACCTACTGCTCCTGCGATTTGTGCGGGATGGCAGAATTCGAAGAGCGACCAACGGACTGCACAATGGGCAACTCGACATCCTGACACATACTGGAACACGGGTGCGGGAAAGAACACGAACGGCACGAACGGCAAGGGCAAGGGCAGCTTCCCCAAGCCGCATGACGACCACACCCAGGGCACCGCCATCCCGCAGACGGGCAAGCAGAAGGACAAGAAACGCGAGGGGACGCACCAGCCCCAACAGGAGGAGGCCGCTGCCAAGAAGAAATAACGCGGGGCATACAGAACTGCAACGACCACGTCGCCAGGACCATTAACAACGTCAACGCAAGGTCTACGCTGCCAGAAGGCCCGACTGGGAAACATCACTAACCGATCCCAACCTCAAAGAGGAGTGGAATACGACCAAGATCGCAGAACAACGCAACACAACCGCGGCCACAGTGCCGCCAAGCTTCAGACTACTGACGCCGAGACCCACACTGCCTTCATCAACACCATGATCATCAACCGCATACCGCTCGCCCGACAAACCAGGGAGATCGAGCGCACCAAGGAGGTCATGGTGGACCACCTCGAGCGACCCAACCAACTGGGAGACTGTTTCTTTCTGGGTACAACAGGGGCACGAAACCAGAATGGCAGCCCTACTTCCAGGACCACCTTGCGAGACGTGAAGTGCAGCCAGAACGAGGGACCTACCAACCGCCCAACGACAACCACGACCGCTACGTCGCCGAGAGCAGCTGTGTGGTTTGAACTACTTGGCGGATCGTGAAAACGATCAGATCGACATTAGCAATCAGCTATTGAGGACAAAGGTACTAATTCTTCGTGGCCTACGCAATTTGGATACCAACAATCATGGAGCATCCAGAAACTGTCCACCACAGAGGACGGGTCTCGAGTGGCTGGCTGCCACCCGAGATCCAGCACTTGCTACGACGACCTCGAGAACGCCCCGCATCCTTCGACCAATGCAAGATATGCGCCAAACCTCACGAAAAACACTTCGAGCCGACCTGCCGTAGGAACACCTGGACTCACAGCACGGACCTTTTCACTGCCCGATGGGGCGAGGTGCCATCATGGACACGGAGCCCACCCACCCTTGTGAGGGCGGGGCGAAGATAGAGCATGGCGAAGCGCGGTGGCCAAGACGTGCAGCCAACCCGTATCATAAGAATGCGCGGTAAAGATACAAGGGCTTTGGAGGGCCTTGTTAACGTCTTCCGAGCGAGGTGGGCCAGCGAACGTCGCTAAGGATGGGCCGAAGGAGCAAGGATGCAATGGTATCCTTGGGAAGGTTGCCCATCCTTACTATGCGGGTTGACTGTACATCGGCAACTCCTACCTCGGTAACCGTCGAGGCCACGGAGAGGCTAACAACCAGCCTGGTGCGGCCCGCCACGATCGGGGGCATGTTCCCCAAAAAGTGATACTCGAATCGACGACTTGAGCTACACGGATCAGGGGTTCTAGTACGCTTGAACCGAGAGGCAGCTGCCCTACCCGACACACGATGGAATCGACTGGCAGCTCATGGGATGACGCGGTCGGACAACATAGCACATCAATTACGACGACACCTGAATGGGATGTATGTGGCGGAAGGTCTGGTATTACCATGTGCGGCACACCGTCACTCGGGGCATGTCACCTTCCATATGATACCTCAACCAAAACTTGGGCTACATCGACCGGCAGTTCTCGTGCGCCTGGCCTGAGGCTCAGGCCCACTCCCTACCAGACCGCGCACCATGGCTTCATCATCGGGAATCAACAGCGATGATTGCATCAGATGTCAATGCAGAGCATCGGCTCGAACATCATATCCTTCACCGCTGTTATACGTCTCAAGGGGTTACGGCTTGTCCACACCTGCTAGACCAGATCACGCGCCTCGGCGCCACCTGCAATTCGAACTCGGATGGGACCTCCAGTGGATCTTCGATGGGGGAGGGAGCTGACCGACGCAATCGGCCCAAGCGACGCCACAATCGGCTACCGGGTTTTCAGCCTGCCATCGAAGATCACATTCGCGCTCCACGCCGAAGTGAAGATCACACAAGGGACGAGAGACCTATCCGCACAGAACGCCCAACGTGCAGCACACGTTGACAAACACCGACGATAGGACACCGCGCCCAGTGCACCGTCCGAGCTCCGGCAGCAGAATCAGCCACGAGTTCTGCACTGCCAACGGCTTGGAGAAGAAAGTGGGCTCGTGGACTCCGTGGACTGCAAGCCACCGGCGGACACCAGGCTCAACCCATCCTTGCAGCACCAGCTTCACGAGTACCTGGCAAGTCGCAGTACGAAGACTCAGCACCACTCGCCCATGAATACACCTACGTAGCACTGGGGGTGGGGCCTGTCTTCATACCAGTCAACGCCACCCTGGGATAGATAAAGACTCGATCACGACACGCTGGAATACATAGTTGCGACCAACGAACGATGGAAGAGGGACACCCACATAGTGCCGCTGATGCACTCAGGAACTTCTGAACTTCTTCATCAGGAGCCGCGGTGCACCCAACACGGAGGACCTTTCGGGCCACCGGCCAGCGAGGCCAACTCACGTGCCCCACTATCGCACAACAACGTGGCGCATGTTCAACCGCGACGGCACCGACAGGGACATCGCAGACAGGAGGGCCCTCATCGCAGCACTACCGCGGGAGAGAGCCGAGGAGATTGGCGAGAACGACCTGGTCTATCTCGACCCACCGCAGACAGGCCCTAACGGACAGAAGCTGACTGACGTCCAGCAGATCCACAATATTTTGGCCATGCAGGTCTAGATAGAGGCGGGCTTTGAGGACGCCGAGCGGAGAGCACTCCATTCAAAGGCTCACATCAGGAACGCGTGCGACAACGAGGACTTCATCCTGCACGCCACCATCGAGTACGGCAACGTCACAGAGTGCAGCAGAGCACTTCCACTGCTGTCCTACCTGGCAGACGTGCTGGTCACTCGTGGAGCCAGAGACATGCACCCACGCAGTGGCAACCTGATCTTCAGCGCGAACATCCTGCGCATGACAGCGCAGACGCGCGTAGGACTACACGCTCGCGAAGGCGGCCCCAACGGAATTCTGGCACCACTTATGGAAGTCGACGGCGACGGGCTGGATCACCTCAGAAACTACAGATCCGAAAACCGGGTACCAGTCACCAGCGCAGGAGAGTTCGACGCAAAGCGCGAATTCCAGCTGGGATCACCGTCCAACCACAACCCACAATGACCACCAATCGGCAACGCTGAATGGCACCCACCCGCTGATGACGAGGTCGAACCAGACATCGACATTACCACCGTTACTCCAACCAGGGCGGCCCCAATTGAGGTCTCTACACGGTGCGACGGCCCTGACCGCGAGAAGTACTGGATTCGATCGAACCTGAGGTCATCATCGTGCACGGCTGCGTGCGACTGCGGACAGCCGACGCCCACAACTTCATGCCGCACCGTGGCAGCGACCTACGCCAAGCACCCCAAAACAGACGCTTCACATCAACCCCGCACCGCAACCGTAAGCCCACTACGACCCTCCGTCGCCCGCTTGCCCACCGCCACCAGCATGCCCACCTGATCGCAGCAGGTGGAACCCAAACGAATCTGCCAGAGTTGAAAATCCACCCAAGCTTGCCGTTCAGCTATGTGCACCAGCTCGTATGCCCACGCTTGTGGATCGTCTGCCCCGAATCCAACCCGAAGGACTTCTTCAGCCAGTTCTACCACTTCAATGCCGGACCCTCACGCCATCCTGGGACGGCCCGAGTGACTACCTACCCATACACAGCTGGAGGAGGGGAAGCTGCACCGTTATGGTCAACGACGAACTCTGCTACAACGGGCAGGGGGTCACCGTCCAGATCCCGCCGGTTGCGCCACGACGCCCGAGGCAGCCACCACCGCCACCGAAACAAAAGACGCCGTCGCCACCTGCTCGCTCAGTATACGTCGACATCTCTACCATATACGACCGGGTTGCCACATGCAGCCAGAACGACGGCCTCTGCAAGGGACGCTTAGACGCCATGAAAAACAACGTAACGGGGACAGCCTCGGATGAGCTGTTGACCTACCTCGCGGGAAGCCATGAGGGCGAATCCTACGGCCAAGACTTCATGAGGAACCAGCAGGAAGACTTTCTACACCCTGGACGCATCGTTCAGATCATCACAGAGATCCATACGGCGAACCTACCTCACTCCGACACCAACCAAGCCCAGCACCCACCGAACCCACTGAAACAGCACTCCCCACCACGAAGCCGATGCCAAGACAGCCCGAACCAGCAGCGGAAGCGCACCGCATCCAGCAGGACATCAACGACCTCATCAGCCTGGTGGCCAAAGCACCCGTGTCAGCGCCAGCAGCACCCACATCGACACACCAGCGACGCGACTATCATGACGTCGAGCAACAGCCATGGACCAGGTCACCCCGCCATGATGGCGGCGAGCCCACCGAGGGACACCAGAAGGCGCCACCACCGAACAATCAACTATTTTGGACGCCCGGAATGGGTACGGAAAAAATGGGCACAATGCCCAACAACAAATATTGTCCCGAACCAACAGCGGCCGCTGTTGGGATGGCGGCCTTCTGTCTCAAGCGGGCACAGGCCGCGGCGGCGTGGACAGCGAATCCTATTCAAAATGAACAGGAACTGCTGTTGGGCATTGTACCCACTCTTTCCGTGCCCATGACGGGCGTCCAGATCACCGCAAAGCCACGAAAAGGCCGGCCTGCCCACCCTCACGGCTCTACTGGCACGACGACGGGAGGCTCGGCCCGAGGGCTGGACAACTCAGTACCGCAGCGACTGCTCTCTGCAAGTGCCTATAACGAACCGTTGGATGCTCATTCTGGGACCTTCTCGGAGACACTCGCTGCACTCTTGCGTCGAAGCTGCGTCGAGCTTCCGTCGACTTGAGTCGACCCTGAGTCGAGCCTGGGTCGAACCTGAGTCGAGCCTGGGTCGAACTTGAGCCGAACGCGAATCGAACTTGAATCGAACTGCGGTCGAACTGGAGTCGGACAGATCCGTTAGGCCCAGGAATGTCCCCAAAACGAGCATCTGAAAACTGGCCCCAAAACTGACTCCTCCCACGCGTGATGGCAATGTCCACGTGCCCCACAGACCAACCGCGCCGAAGAAAGCCACCAAGACATCTCTAGCGGAGCCACCTCCTGGCATTCGGGTGGGTGCCTCGATGTCCGACCTCCAACTCGGCGGCGCGCGCGGGGGAGAAGTGAGAAGGGGCGGGCCTTCTCAAAGGCTCGGAAATCCCCCGGCCTTCTGAAGTTTTCTAAACCTTCCCCGAAAACACAGAAAACCTATCGGAAGGCGCGAGGGCTTCTGAGAAGTCCTACCGCCTTCTGAGAGAGCCTTCTCCTTCTCACTTCCTCCCTCACTCATCTCCGAAATTCGGCAACTCCATCAAAAATATCTACTACGACGCGAATACGTCACACTTCAAGATACACGCCCACACGATCATCAAGGACTGCATCGAGAACATCGGCAGCCATGAGGCGCTCTACGATTGGCAATCGGATCCACATCATGTCGAACGCGTCGAGCACGACCAAGTCCTACACTATTTCCACGACGCTTTGACCGAAAGCTTCGGAGAGCCAGTCGGCCAACGCGTCGCGCCCTTCAAAACGACGACCAACCAGACGGTGTTCGTGCACTTCATCATCCACCAGTTGTGCAGCATCTCCGCGTACCCAGCGGCTGAGGATCGCAGAGACCTAGCTACGCCGTGCCAAGCCCGACGCGACGGTGACGAGATCTACAGCTACGTCAAGCTTGCCCTGCGTGGCAACCCGACGAGGGCACCAACTCCGCTCACCACGCCCTCCTGTCAGAAGGACATCGCCAAGGACATGCTCTACTGGACGAGCATACTGCTACAGCAGGATGGCGCCAGCATCTCAGCCCCCACAGCAGATCCAACTGACCAAGAGCCCGACCACCACGCCCCTCTCTTGGGCTCCACGAGCGGCCCCAACCACCAAAACACTGCGGCGCAGCGAGGCATGGCAACGACGTACCGGCACATAGCCAAGAAAGCCGCAGCCACCAGCAGGGATCTTCAGCTACGTCAGCCACCCACAGCGGCCACGACACGATGCCGACCGCCAAGCTCGTCACGCGAGGTCGACATCAGGGCTTTCAACCAACAGATGAAGCAACTCCTGATGGCGCAGTACATCTTCCCGATATCCCCGCCGGGGCGCACGCCACTGCCATGACCACCACCAACGCAAATCATGACGACGGTCAAAGCGCCCAGCAGCGTGGTCTACCTATTCGCACGAGATACCCCATACTGTACTGTGCTCTGACTCGGCTACCATTAATGATCAGAACGAGGACGAGTACTACCTCGGCTCCGGCAACATAGGCTACATCAAGACAGACGCTGACCCACCGACCAGTACAACCAACGGCCGGAACCGACTCCAGCCCACGGGAACCGCACTTGGAGCGGACAACCCCACATTAAGCACGCCGACAGCGTGCTCGGTGACAACACGACGCCTCTCTTGTGTGGCTGTACCCTCAGCCTTAGCCTCCGGCATCGACGCCGCGAACGACGGCCAGACCTCCAGTTTGAACAAGCGTGCCTGCTGGGAACTAGCAGGAGGCGAACATCAGACTGGGCACACTCAAATCACAGCCACACACACACACCGAAACTCGAGACACACACCAGCCCTGACACCACCACCACCACCACCACCACCACCACCACCACCACCACTGCCGAAGTGCACAATTCACAATGTTTGCGCGTCGATGCGCAGGGGCCAACTAATCCAACTACACACGCTTACACCATTCCAGACAGAAGCACATAGGGTTGGGGTGGTCGGATAGAGAGACAAAAGCGGAATGAGAGCACAATCTCAGCCACATACCCACACACACAACATCCAACTACAGTGAGAAGCGCAGACGCCATAGTCTACCCCAGCTGCGAGGGCGTGGGGGCAGCTTTGACGTGCCACTCGAGGCGGCACGCAGGCTTGGGACAGAACAGTAAGAACTTCAGTGGCACAGTAGAACCGCCAGCCGACCGCTCGCCCGCTCGCCTGGGGGGCGGGGGGGTGGCAGCGTCTGCTTGACACCCTTGCCACTGGCTCTAAGCTCGAAGGAGAAGGACGAGAAGGAGGAGGAGGAGGAGGAGGACGAGGAGGAGGAGGAGGAGGAGGAGGAGGAGGAGGATAAGAAGGAGAAGGAGGAGGAGGGAGGCCATGAAGGTCCTTTGGTACGAGGCCCATACTCTGAGGCCCCTTCCAGACGGATCGGTGACGTTACCAGCGACGTTGTTCCCATGGTTTTATCAATCCCGACCCCTCTCGCTTCCTCCTCCTCCCCCATCGGGGGCGACAGGGGACAGGGAAGGAGGAGGACATTCTGGCAATAACAAAAATTGGGAACGAGGACGGGGGCGAAAGGGAGAGGGGACGGTGGATTGGACCAGTGGTTGTAGCGATGGCCCCCGATCAAGCCTGTGCGTCTCCTGGCGGCGCGCAAAGGGGGCGGGCGACCTTCTACGTGCAAGGAGGCCCCCTGGATGGCCACGCGCCCCCTTCCCCACCCCACCCCTGCACGCCGCCAGGGGCTCCTACTGGCCTGGCTCCACTGGGGCCACGGGGGCATCTTTTCGCGGTCACGAATCGGTGCGGTGACAGACCGTGCGGCGACCTCGGACCCCCCAAATACCTCAACGCACGTCCGTCACCGCACGGTTTTGTGACCCTGGAGGCCCCAGTCGCCCGAGACGTCCTCGGAGAACGACCCACGTCCCAAAAGCGTGCGGTGACCCCGAGCCCACACTGCTCACCACTCGGTGTGGTCACCGCGCAACTCGTGGGCCAACCCGGCAATCTTTCCCAGCCGCCCGGCCTGCGGGCCGCGTCCCGCGACCGCGCCCCCTCGAGCGCCGCGCCGAGCCGCCGCTCGCACTCGGCGTGGGCACCCCGCGCCGCTCGGGCGCCCTCGCCCGCGCGCGCCCAGGCCGAGAACGTGAGCGACAGGCTGTCGCGGCGCCAGCAGCGCGCGGCCCAGCCGTCCGCGGCGCAGCGGCGCGCGCAGCGCCGCGCGAGGCACCGCGCCTGCCAGCTGCGCTGCAGCGCCTCGCAGGCGGCGCCGCGCGCCCAGGAGGAGAGCACCCTCGCCAGTAGGGCGTGGCGCCCGCGGGTTCCTAGCGCGGAGCACGCCGCGTCCACGCAGCGGCGGCGGTCGCGGGAGGCCCGGTCGGCCAGGGCGCCGAGGTCCTCCTCCACCTGGGCCCTGCCCAGCGCCGCCGCCTGCAGCTGCGCGTCGCAGTCCCCGAGCGCCGCGCGCAGTCGCGCCTCGGCCTCGCGCAGCTGCAGTTCGGCTGCCTCCTCGCAGCTCTGCAGGCGCGCGGCCCAGCCGCTCTCGCAGCGCTCCGCCTCGGAGGCGTAGAAGCGCTCCTGCTTCTCCATCCTGGTGCCCAGCAGCCACGAGCGGAGCGCGGCGGCTGCCACAGCGCGCTCCTGGCACCCCGCCAGCGCCTGCCCGGCCGACATGCCCCTGGCTCGCGCCGCGCGCTGGCGCCGCTCCTGCCGCTGGCAGCCGGCCGCGTGGCCCCACGCGGCGAGCGCCTGGCACTTGAGGACCCAGTCGGCGGACTGGGACTGCTCGTGCTCCAGGCTGGCCCGCGCCACCGCCAGCCGCCGGCGCATGTGCGACCGCTCCTGCTCCGCCTGCTGGCGCCGCGCCTCGACGTCGCTCTCGACCTGGGAGAGCTGGCGGTCCCACTGCTCCTCCAGGCGCCGCTGCCTCGCGCGGGCGTGCTCCAGGAACCAGTGGGAGAAGACCGTCGAGGCGCTGCGCCACTCCTGGGCGCTCGCCAGCACCGCCGCGTGCGCTCGGGCCCGCTCCAGCACGACCGCCAGGTGCCCGCGGCGAGCGCCCTCGGCCCGGGCCTCCTGCACGCTCTCGCGCCTCAGCGCCTCCCGGGCCTCCTCCTGGGCCCTGCGCAGCCGCCCGCTCCAGCTGCCCTCCGACTCGGCCAGGCGGGAGCCCAGCTCCTGCTCCCGGTGCTGCTGCGACCGCAGCTCCTCCCGCGCCGCGCCCAGCTGCTCGCGCAGCTCCTCGGCGCGCCGCAGGCACTCCCCGCCCTCGGCCTCCAGCGCCGCCACCTGGGCCGCCAGCGCCCGCTCCGCCTCCGCGTGGCGCGCGCCCAGCTCCTCCACGTGCTGGTTGTGGGCGGCCTCGAGGCGGCAGATCTCCCGGCACAGCCGGGCCTCGGCGACGATGATCTCGAAGCCCATCCAGCCCCAGTGCAGCGCGAAGCGCCGCAGCCCGCGCGTGGCCGAGCGGTCCGCGGCGAGCCACCGGAGGCGCCGCTCGCTCTCCGCGGCGCGCCGGCACCGCTGCTCGAGCTCCAGGAGGGCCCGGTCCTTCTCGGCGAGGGAGCGGCTCTGCTCCTCCCACGCCTCGAGCTCCTCCGCGCGGTGGCGCCGGGCCTGCTGCCGCCTCGGGAGGGGCCGGAGAGGTGCAGCGGGCGCGAGCACGCTGCTGCCGTGAGACGCATCCGGGCGAACGTGTGTCGTCGAGCCTCTTGGGTTTTCCCCGGGTGCCCCTGGGCTTCCGGGGCGCGCTCTTGTGCGGTCGCGGGCCACAGCGGGCGTTTCAAATCATGTTTGGCGAGGCTTGCAGGAGTCCGCAAAGACCTATTCTCAGCGACCAGTGGGCACTGACTGGCGAATGCAGAGCAAACATCTTGAAGTATGCCTACCCCCCTGCGCGAGGCGCCTTGCCCCAGACGAAGGATCGGAAGGAGGAGCAGCAGCGGGAGCAGGGCACGCGGAAGGCATCCGAGCACCACCACCACCACCGCCGCCGTGCCCGGCCAGAGGGCGAGGCACCGCGGCAGTGCACGGCACAGTCGGCCCGCATCATAAGGATGCGCGATAAGGATGCAAGGGCCCGGGACGCCCATCTCCAAGCTTTTCGAGCGGGGCGCGGCCAACGGAAGCGGCCAAGGATGGACCCAGGAGGCGAGGATGCAAGGGTACCCTTGGGCATGTTGCCCATCCTTACTATGCGGGTTGACTGTAACGGGCGTTATGGGGGGGGCTAACATAACGCCCCCCCCTCGCCGTGAGGTTCCAGCGCCCCTGGGGGGTCAACCGAGTGGACCCTCCAAGCCATCGGGGAGTAAGAGACTTTCTCGGGGCACCTGCAGGGAGGCGGGCTCCTTACAGCCGAACAATATCGGTGGAAGAAATCGGGAGCGGCCAAGAGGGGGGTGTCCAAGAGGGGGGGGTGCAAATCATGACCGGCGGCATGTGCGCGGCCTACCTGGGGGGCCAGGGACGTAATGAAATAAGACGAGGCGCCATGACATCTGGGGAAATATCATGGCCCCCGCCATGATATCCAGCCCCCCCTAGTCATCACCCCCCTCTTTGCCGCCCCCGACAGTGCAGAGACCTGAGCCAGCTTCCAGGAAGTTTCTTGACGCAAGCCGCGGGCCCCCTTCTGATGCCAACGCTGGAGGGGCGCACGCGCTCAAGAGACCGGGCCAGCTCTCCGGCGGGTTGGTCAAGAGGCGCTGGCTGTTGTACCCACCAGACTGTTGTACCTGCCAGACTATTACCTAGTGTACCTGCCAGACTATTGTATCTACATACCAGGTTCTTGAATATGACTGCTGTACCTACCAGACCACCCCAACCCAACCCGAAGACCCGAATTTCGGGTTGAGGGGGAGGGCACGGGCTTCAAGTGTTTTTTTTTTCATTGCTCCCCGACCCCCCCCCCCACTGGGAATGGACGGCAAATTGGGGCCTTCGGGCGGGGTTGGGGTGGTTTGGTGGGTGGTGAAAATCCCAGACATGCGACGTCCTGACGTCCTGATTTCTTAAGGACGGCGTCCCTGGAAGTCCCGACACTTTCCCCGGGATAGGTTTTTCGTTCTGAATAATTTTTGGACGCTCCCGAGGCCGAGTGAAGGCCCCCTGGGGCCGAAAATGGTCAAACAACTTCCGTCCTGGCTTTTTGAACGACGCGATCATGTCTGGGATCAGATGCTCGACTGTATTTGACGAGGACGAGCCCACTGTACCGATGCCACTGCTCGCCGGCCGTCTCGCAAAGGGTGCGTTCCAGCCTGGGGCCCCTTTTGGCCCAGCGGGCCGTGGCGACGCCGTCCTGAAAAAATCAGAACGTCGCATGTTTGGGCGAGAAACCCAACCCTGAGACCCTAGGACGTTTATTAAGTTCCGGTGTGGGAACGTCACGCTTTCCACAGCAAAACCATCGAACCCCAAGAAACTCAGGGCACCCTGGAGACGAGCAGGGTGCTTCTTGGCATGAGTCTCCACTGTATAGCGGGCCCGCGTCGCGATGGCGTCGGCGCTGGTCCCTGACATCGAGTAGACCCCATCAACACTGAAGCATAGCGCGGCTACACGCAGGGGTGACCCCAGGCAAGAGCGGCCTCTGGTGCGCGGCGTGAAGGAGGGCCCGGGGGGGGACCAAACCCGAACGCATAAGCCGCTGCTGTCGCATCGCGTTCCGCGATCGGGGGCCTCCAGTAAACCTGCACCCAAAGTCACTCCAGCGAAGGGTCACCTTTTTGAGCAGGGGCTGGCCGCCATCGCTTTCCTACAGGCCGATCGCGAAGCATACTCAGAACAAAATAATGTTCGAATAACAAAAAGAATGCTTCTAGAACGTAAAGCCGATTGAAATACACAAGCAGATCTCAGCCAGGCATGCTCCACTATCATTTTGGGCGAACCACAAAATCTTCTTAGAACATTCCTTGATAGGCCGAAAGGCGAGTCGGGACGCTCCGCCACTGCTTGACTCTTACCCGTATGAGGACACCAAATGGTACTGATACCGCTACTCCTCGAACTTAATTTCGAGGCGAATCCAGCGGTGGCGACGAGGGCCTCTCAGGAAGCCCAGAAAGGCGAAAAACGTGGAAGGGTAGCGGTACGGTCCAGGTACCTTTTCCTCCTCCGAGCGTAGTCGGGCGATGCAGATCGAAGCCAGGCCGGGGGCAGAAAATGACCAGTACGCAGTGGAGGCCAGTCCACAAGAAACCTTCCACAAGAACCCCAACCCTGAGCCCCCAGGACTCCAGGACGTCCGTTGATCTGTGGTGTGGGAGCGTCACGCTTTCCACAGCGAAGCCATCGGAGCCCAAGAAGCCCAGGGCACCCTGGAGGCAACTAGAGTGTTTCTTGGCATGGGCCTCCATTGTAAATCTGGGGTCAGCCCCAGCAGCTCCCCCTTGCACGATCGATCGTCAAACAACATCTGTTTGCTTCTGAATTCGAGCTCTGGCAAGATGGATGCAGAATCACAATGCAAGGGGCGATACTGCAGCACGCGACTGTTTCTCGTTTCCATCGCTGTTTTGTCTCAGAGCCCCTCCAGCAGGGGCGTGCATGCAACAGCAGGCAGACTTATTCATTGAGGAGCTGACGAAGAAGTCATCGTGTGAACAGAGGGAGCGCGATCCACCGCGGCTGTGCTACAAAAAATCCCCGGGGGAGGGTCTAAGGGCCGGGGAGGGCTCCCACCCCCTTGCAACCCCCCCAACTGCACCCCCCCCCCCAAGAACCTAAAGGTCCGAACCCACCCTCCCCCCTCCCCGGGCCCCCCCCGGGGGTTTCGAACCCCCCACCCCTCCCCGGGCCCCCCCAGGGGTTTTCGAACCCACCCCCCCTCTACTCGCCGCTGGCAGACGACGACAACAACTATATGATCGACGACGACGACGACGACACGACGACACAGCGACGACGACGAGGAAGACGACGACGAAGACGACGACGACGGGCGGACCCTACCGGACGGGTCGTGCGGGCGGACCATAACGGGCGGGTCGGGTCGGGCGGGCGGGACACTAAAGCCTGATGCGTATACAACATAACACATGAGAATCCTATCGGGCGGGTCGGGACGGGCGGACCCCTATCGGGGGGGTCGGGTCGGGCGGGCGCGACACGAAAGTCTGACGCGTATACAGCATGACCCATGAGAAGCCTAACGGGCGGGTCGGGCTGGGCGGGCAGGACACTAAAGTCTGATGCGTATACAACATGAAACATGAGAATCCAATCGG